TACTTAGCACTTTGTCTACCATGTAACAGTCAGCAAATGGTAGTTATTAGGTTTTATTTTTTTAATTGCCGGAGGGCACATGCACTCACCAAGAGAAAAAGAGAGAGAGAGAGAGAGAGAGGAGGCACCCCCCTAGTGAGGCACAGTAATGCCACCATCCTTTCTCCTCTGTTTCTTCATACTGTAAGGATTGGGGGCTCACACACACAAGCTCAGCATGTTTCTCAGGGCTCTGGGGCTAGGATTTGAACCGCAGCAAGCCACGCAGGATTCAACTTTCTGTGCATCACACTTAACCTCTGCACTAAGGGGCCAGCCCAATGATGCACTTTATTTTTTTATTGTTTTTTTTTTTTTTTGGTAAACAACAGTACACAAGGGCCAGACAGTGGCATAGCAATATTGCAATTGGGCCCACATGGGAGGGTCCCTGGATCCCTTCTCAGGCCTCTCTCCGCACTCCAGGAACACATGCACGTGCTCATGATGCTAGCCGGCTGAGACTGGGGCAGATCGTAATGAGCAGACAACGGTGAGCTGCTCATCTCTTTCTCTCTTCCTCTCTCTCTCATGAAAGAAATAATAAAGTAAACTTTTAAAAATACACATGCAGGAGGCGGCGTGACAAGGGATGACGCTGAGCCGGCTTCAGAACAGGAGGAGGAGATGAGGCTGCTGTTGAAAGCGGTCATGCACGACCAGCTGAACGGCCCTAAAATGTTGATGAAGGTCGATGATGAAGCATCATCAACCCAACTACCCTGGCGTTAGGCACGAGGAGCTGTGTGATGGGAGAGGAGGAAGAAGAATCAGATTCCAGAAGGGGGAGAAGAGCTAGCATTAGTTATATAAATTACATTTCTAAGTCTTAGGCATTTTCTTCAAAGAAGTCATCTTGCTGCAGTAGGGCCTGTGCCCTGCTCCAAAGAGAAACAAGAACCAGGGGAGGATGTATGGTTGTAAAAATGGCTCCATCAATAACCCAACCTCCACAATGTTTTAACAAGCATTAAAGAGATACAGAAAATCAGATGCAGTATCAGCACTGAGCAGCACGGGTGATGCTCTGTTATCTCATCTGAATCAATAACTGCCCGAAATACACAAAAAGAATTGTTATTTAATTATAATTATAATTATGCCTTTTTTAAGAAAATCAATTAAAAGTTATTCACATGCCCTTGAACCTTGTGAGCAGTTAAGCCACAGTCTAGAAAAGAAAGATGATGGGACCAGCAGGTGGCCTGGTGGTTAAGGCACTGCACGTTCCCATATGGTCAACCGCGGTTTGAGTCCCAGACATGATGGCTTGCTTTTCTCCCTTTCCCTCTTTCTCTCTCTCTCTCTTTCTGTGTCTCTCTGTGGTCAAATTAAAATAAATGAATGAATACATAAAATTAAATAATTCTTTAAAAGAATAAGAAAAGAAAGATGACAAGGGGAGGACAGCGGGCCACTGGAAAGCACAAGTTGTTGCCACCTCTCAGAGGCATTAAACACTGTCTACTGTTGACTGCTTTGCATGGCTGTTCCCACAGCTACCAGGGCACCGCACAAAGCTCTTGGAAAACAGGATTAAAATACAAGTCTTGGGCCAGCAGGTGGTGTGGTGGTTAAGGCAATGGACTTCCACATGGCCAACTGCAGCTCGAGTCCTGAACCTAGTGGCTTGAAATTCATGTTGGGCAAACATGCATGCCCTGCATGCCGAAAATCCCAGAAGAAGGGATTGTGGCATGGCCCTCCCCGCGGGGGGTGACTTTTCACTGTCCCTTTCTCTGTCTTCAGCAAGTGCACATGTCCTGAAGGGGGGAGCAGGGAAACAACTGGGAGGAAAATTAGTCTTATTCTAGTGCAAGACATTTTGAAATTCATCCATAGTAGTTTTGTAACACACATGTTTCATGAACTTCTTTTTTTTACTAAATCGGTATTTATTTATTTTACATCCTTTCACAGAACATCACCACAGCATACCAAATACGATTTTCCAGCCAGAATACACGATAAGGTGGCTTAATCATACATGTTATCATCAACAAATAATTTTCCATTTGTTTCATGTATATTTTGTTATTTTTGCCATCCTTGATTCCCTATCTCTCACCCTCTGCTGTGTCCCACCCTCCTCCCACACTGTCTCTGGTATCCATGGTTGCTATCTGGTCAAACTAAAACAAACATTGTATTGACTCACAAAATATCTTAATTAATCTAAATACTTTCAATAGTAAACTCAGCTGATATATACATATCTGTGAACAAAAGTTGACTTTAGGCATGAAACTTTGGGTAGAATGAATATACTATAAAATAGCACATAGCTGAGGTTATACTGCTTACTGTGGTTAATAAATAGGTATTTTTAAATACTTTTTTTTATTTTAAGAAAGACAGTTTTAGCTTTAATAAATTAAAATTAAAAATGTTAAGAGAATTTTGCTGAAGACTTAAAGCCAGGAAACAGGTTAGGAATCTGTTCAAGCAGTAGGGACATGGACCTGTCCACAACTCAAGAGAAGACAAAACTCCTTAACACTGGAAAACAAAGATAGAAGGTCAGTAATGTTTTAGTCAAACGTCATTCAATTCTACTTCACCAGTTCAAACTCGTGTACTTTATCTTCTGTTGTGGTCTGATCTTTCCATTTAAGTTCTGGAAGATAATGTTCAGCTCTGGACTTGTCCGTCCCATTAAGCTGGCCATTGTGTTAGTTGTTTTTGAACTCTTATTTCTGTGTGTCTGACTTTAGTTTTCCTGATATAGTACCCCCTTCAGAACTTGGAGATCTGGTCTGGTTTGTTTATCTGAGAATGTTTTTGTCTTCTCTTCCATATGATAATCTTGCCGGGTATAGTATTCTTGGTTGAAATTATTTTCCACTCAACACTTTGAATTTATTTTCCCATTCTTTCCTTGCTCTCATTGTTTCCAATGAGAAGTCCACTGTTTTCCTGATGGGATATCTTTTGTAGGTCACTTGATGTTTCTTTCTTGCCGGTATGAATCTTTTGTCTTTGTCAGTGGCATTGGTCATTCTGGCTACAATGTGTCTTGGAGAAGATTTTCTTGGGTTGATCCTATTTGGGGTCCTTTGTATTTCTTGGATCTGGATCTTTGAATGCCTCTCTAGGTTTGGGATGTTTTCTTCCAGGATTTCATGGAATATATTGTCAATGCCCTTATTAGTCTTTTCTCTTTCTGGGATACCGATTATCTCGATGTTTGGACATTTAATGGTATCTAGTATATTATTCTCATTTTTCTGGCCTATTTTCTCAGTCTTTGTGGTGGATTTTACTAGTCCAGTGATCCTGTCTTCTATATCTGAGATTTGATTTTCTGTATAATCTAGTCTGCTTTTAATGCTTTCAAAGGAGTTTTTAAATTCCTGTATTATAGCCTTCATCTCCAAGAGTTCTATTTATGGTGTGTATTTCCTCTTTCAGCTCTCACAAGAACTTCCTCACCTCCTGGAACTCATTGGCTTTTTTGTTCTGGTGTTCATTGTCTCTCTTCTCTTCCATCTCTGTTAGCTTTGTCACTATGAATGTTCTAAATTCTTTATCAGACATGTCCATGAGTTCCATTGTACCGTCTGTGGATGAAGAGAAGTTATTCTTTTCCCTTGGGGGTGAGGTATTTTCTTGGTTTTGCGTATTTCTTGTGCCCCTGTGGTGATTTCTAGTCATCTGAGGGTTTATTCATTTCTTCCTAATTTCTAGACGATCAATCTGAGCGATCAGAGGCGCACAGGAAGAGGTGGTCTGCAAACTCTTTGGGGTTTATTCATTTCTTCCTAATTTCTAGACGATCAATCTGAGCGATCAGAGGCGCACAGGAAGAGGTGGTCTGCAAACTCTTTGGCATTGCATTTTTCTCCCGTTGTGTTGCAGATTCAGTGGGAGTTGAGGAATATGAGGACCCCAAATAGTATTCGGATTTTGGCAACTTTTCACTTAGACCTGTCTAGACGCTCAGTGGGTGGAGGCTGAGCAGCAAAGTAATGAGGTAAAAGACAAAAGAAAAGAAAACAGAGAGACAAAAAAAGAGAGAGAAAAATGGAAAAAGCAAGCACAGAAACAAAAAACATTATTTATTTGTTAATTTTATAAAACAAAAAGTGAAAACTGCGGAGGCACGCAAAGTCTCTAGATCTCAGCACTCATGGTGGATTCAGTCTTCTTCTGGCCTGCCCTTTCTGTGTGCCTACTTGGGAAGGGGAAAGGAGAGGGGATTATTACCAAGATAAAGGAGGATTTCAGAGCCAAGAAAAAACTTTACCTTAAAAAAATTTTTTAAACAAAAATTATGAAAATATGGAGACAAAGAGACAGAGAGGGAAGGATAGAGGGGCTCTACCAGGGTAAATTCTCAGCAGAACATCTTCATTGCCTTATCTCTGAAATCACTAGATCTCGACTCTCATGGCGGACTCAGTCTTCTTCTGGCCTGCCCTTTCTGTGTGCATGAAGTTCATGGAAAACTTCTGCTATCTGAAGTACCCTTTAGTGGAGTAGCCTTAATCATCATCAACAGGGCTCAGCTGAATCTTCTGGGCTTCTTTCAGAGAATTTTCTGGGAACAGAGACCTATTATTTAGTTTTGAAGGTTCTATCTTGATACAGATGGCAGGATGACATATGGAGAAGTGTGAGAACTCCCCAAACACATACAAATGCACCTCCACTCAGTGGGGCATCAATAATTGCTGATTCTGGTGGCTGAGAAGTCCAAAGGCCTACACCTATGGCATAACAGGTGTAAGCACAGGGGGTGGTAGGAGTGTGCAGAGAGAGAAGGGGGCTGACTCCATGTTTCATGAACTTTTTGAAGAACTTATTGGTTCAGACTCACTGATTACATGCCCGGAGCTATTTATAAATTATAAATAGCTATTATGGAGCTTGCCAGTGTCCATATAACAACAGAGAAAAGCAGTATTTCCTCCTCTGAGCAAAGCACACAGCAAAGATGGTTTAAAATCCATTGCTGGGGCTCACTTCAGCAGCAGACATACTAAAATTGGAATGATACAGATAAGATTACCATGGGTCTTGGGCAAGGATGACACACAAATCCGTGAAGCACTCGATATTTTTTTGAATTTCATCCTGAACTGGTCAACCTGTCATATCCAGGAAACAGGTGATGATGAGGTTGATTCAATGAGAATAAATGACATAGATTCGAGCCTGAACATCATAAGAAATATAGGTGACACAGATATTGCGGTAGCCAGTCTTGAAAGACTCAGCACACACACTTAAGATAAAGATGAAAAGTTAAGTGAAGCTTCTGGAAGCAGGACTGAAAGGGTGAAAGAAGTGATGTGGAAGACACCATCGAAGGGGAGGGGCAGGAAAATGGAGTTCTTGATGGTGTCCCTATTGATACCCCCCCCCTTTTTTTTTTACTGGGGAAGACTTGGCTTAACTAGAATAATTAAACATTCTTGATTTAGAAGACTGACAACAAACAAGTCAGTGGAAAAAACAAGTTGCCTCAGCATGAGCTGAAATTGGCTACATTCATTTTTCTACTAGAATCACCGGATGTTTATTTCCTATGCTGATTCTGAGGGCTTAGCCTCCTCCAAAAAAGGAATACGTTCCCTATGACTCTCTTCGGACTTTGACAATATCTCAGTAAGTTTGGAGTAGTTCATGATTAAGATGACTATCACAGTTGTTGCAAAAAATGCTTGATTGTTGAAACTATCCACTCAAGTAGGAAATGTAACTTACTTTTCCAGTTTTTTATTTTCATTGTGTGTGTGTTCTTATGACAAACAACATAAACTTACATGTAAAAAAGTCCTTCAAAAACAAAAATACATGAGGCCAGCTGTTGGTGTGATGGCTATGTCGCTGAACTCCCATGTAGTCGGCTGCAGTTTGAATCCCAGACCTGGTGGCTTAAACTCACGCCAGGTACATGTGCGTGCGTGCCCAAGATCCCAAGAGGAGAATGGAGGAGAAGGGATTGCAGTGTGGCCATCCCCCTGGGGGGTGATTTCTCACTTTCTGTCCTCTCTGTCTCTCTCTATATTACTGGCAAGCACACACGCCCTTTAGCAAAAACCTCTCAAAAAAAAAAAAAATACACATGCATACAAAGATACCTATTTTGTAAGACCATACGAGGAAATAAAACTACATGAAATAGATTAGAATGCTTGCCAAGCGGAAGGGAAGGCGAAGTGAGTGGGAAATGAGGTTAATAGGGAATAAATAAAACAAATGAAGGACCTTGCCCAGACTAAAGAGGATAATGTGCTAGAAACTGAGTGGTATGATTAATTCAACCTTCTGCATCTGAGGGCCAAAATTAAGGCAAAACAGAACTGTGTGATTCACAGATCAGAGGAGATGTCAGAGGGTGTCAGCAGCCTAAAGATAGAACTGTGGGGTAAAATACGGGATGGTGACCTACACTAGAAATCTCACTCTCATCCTTGACTCCTAAGTTTCACTCCTTTGCCTTTTGAGACCAGGTGTCTGGGTGTTTCTACATTTTCTCTCAAAATAATTTTTTTTTTTAGACTTTTTTTTTTTTTTACGATAGGGTGTGTGCACTTGCCAGAGAGACAGAGAACAGAGATAGGGAGACAGAGAGAGGGAAAGTAAGAAATCACTACCATGGTCAGCCATGTGAGAGTCCAGCGCCATTAACCACCATGCCACCTGCCGGCCCCATAAATTTTTAAGTTTTTTAAACAGCCCTTTTTGTATTTTTTTTAAATGCAACTATAAAAACACCAAATACCACCACTTAGTACAGTGCCTGACACATGGAAATAGGTACCAAGTACAAAGTTTTTGAAAAATAATTGGATTTCACCCACCAATCTACCATTCTTTAAATTTTGGGATCAAAATTGCTGACAACGAGCTTCATGAATTTCCTACTCCCTATTGTTTTTAGAAATAATTACTGGGACCAGCAGTTGGCGTAATGGCTATGTCGCTGGACTCTCATGTAGTCAACCGTGGTTCAGGTCCTGGACCTGATGACTTAAACTCACACCGGGCCCGTGTGTGTGCATGCCCAAGATCCTAAGAGAAGAATGGTCAAGAAGGGATTGTGGCATGGCCATCCTCCCAGGGGGTGATTTCTCGTTTTCTCTCTGTTTCTTTCTGTCTTTCTGGTGGGGACACATGCCCCCTATAGCAAAACCCCCTCCCCCCCAAAAAAAAAAAAAGAATTATTACTATTTTTACTTTTAAAGTACTTTAGAATTATACAACAGGATTTTCTAAAAATTATTTATTTAATTCCATTATTATTAATTTGACCAGAGAAAGACAGAAAGGGTAAGTGAAAATGCAAGCCGCTAGGTCCAGGTCTTGAACCATGGTTGGTCATGTGAGAGTCTAGCATCTTAACCACCGTACCACCTGCTGGCCCACAACATGATTTTTTTTTCTGTTGTTTACACAGACTAATTTTTTTCTCAGAAGCTAATAAGTAAATAAGTGGCAATTAATCAAATAATGTTGTTCATATGATAAACTAAATAAGAAACTGAGTTTGCTGTGTCATAAATGGTGAAGTAATGGGGACCAGCAGGTGGTGTGGTGGTTGTAAAATAAAAAAATAATGTGGTGGTAACTACATACTCATCGCTTGTACTAAATCATTTAATGCTCGTGACAGTCCTATGAGGAACACTCCAGACCCAAAACCCCTACAAAAAAAGAAATGATGAAGGGATTGCAGCATGACCACACCTCATTAAGGGGTGCCTTCTCTTTCTCTCCCTCTGTATCTCTGCTTCTCTCTGAAATTTTTTTTTAAAATCTCCTTTTTTTATGAATGTAATTGCTTCTTTTATCTGAAACCATAACTTGGTCTTAATTTTTCTGATTCCTCTATTACCACTGTGTCTTCCAATTTCGTTTCTGTTTTATCTCTTTTTTTTTTTTTTAAGGTTTTGCCATAGATCATGTGTGTTTGCAGGAGAGAGGCAGAGAGAGACAGTGAGAGGGAAAGCAAGAAATCACCCCCCAGGATGGAAGGTCACACTGCAATTCATTCTCCTCCTGGGATTCTAGACATTCATGCACACATGCCTGGCATGATTTTTGAGCTGGTGGGTCTGGGATTCAAACTGTGGCCAGTCACCACCTGCTGGCTCCAATATCTGGTGATCCTTACCTATTTGTCTATGTTAAAGAATGAGGCACCAAAACCTAATAAGAAAATCTGTGTGGGGAAGTGAAACACACTGAGTTGTAGAATTTATTGCAGAATAATTGGACAGGGTTCCAACCATTCCCTGAGGGAAACAACCACAGAAATGCATCAGCATGTCCAGGTCTTTATTCCTGGGCTGCTCATTCCAGGGAGACATTCTCCCAGTTCCTTACCCTGGAACTGTATGTCAGCCTTTTGGGAGCCAAGTTAGGGAA